TGTGCAGGCTGGTGTAAGTGGTGCAGGCTGGTGCAAGTGGTGTAAGTGGTGCAGGCTGGTGTAAGTGTTGCAGGCTGGTGTAAGTGTTGCAGGCTGGTGTAAGTGATGCAGGCTGGTGTAAGTGGTACAGACTGGTGTAAGTGGTGCAGGCTGGTGCAAGTGGTGTAAGTGGTGCAGGCTGGTGTAAGTGGTGCATTCTGGTGTAAGTGGTGCAGGCTGGTGTAAGTGGTGCAGGTGGTGCAGGCTGGTGTAGGTGGTGTACGCGATGCAGGCTGGCGCAAGTGGTTCGAGTGGTGTAAGTGGTGCGTTCTGGTGTAAGTGGTGCATTCTGGTGTAAGTGGTGCAGGCTGGTGTAAGTGGTGCAGGCTGGTGTAAGTGGTGCAGGCTGGTGTAAGTGGTGCAGGCTAGTGCAGGTGGTGCAGGCTGGTGTAGGTGGTGTACGCGATGCAGGCTGGCGCAAGTGTTTCGAGTGGTGTAAGCGGTGCAGGCTGGTGTAAGTGGTTCTTCTGGCAGCTATTTTCACAGGACGCTGCTTTGGTGGTGAATTAAGTGGCGTTGATGCGGCGTATTACTAGCGTTGATATGGCGTATTACTGGCGTTCATTTTTCTGTACTAGGTGACGGTATGGTGCCACTGACGCCTGCTGTGTCGCTGCTGCAGGTGCAGCAAGTGTGTACCGAAAACCCCTGTTTAATTTTCGCGCGCACTTTGGCAGGCGCTTATAAACAAGTGTTCGCACAAACGTATTTTTTCTTCACTGGCTTCTCTTTAGACGTGCACTATTGATGGGTGCAGTTTACGTTTCATACAGAAATAGCAGGTTGCCAGCGTGCTGGTTACCTGCTGAGGCTGGCGCCTGAAAAAAGCGCGAGAGGGTGTTCACAGAGGAAGTAGGAAACCAGCTGGAAGAAACCAGGTCTTTTTCATTAGAGAGGAAGAAACCATCCGCAAGAGAAAGTAACCAGGTCTTTTTTTGATATGCAGTTAGAGTAAAATTAAACCGATGTTCCCTTACCTTCACAGTACATCTTCTTGGCAATGTCAGCCCAAAGTTTCTCCCCAAAGTTTCTCAACTACAATTCGGTTAGAGTGCTCTTTACTCCATTTGTCCCAAAACTACGAAGTTGTTTTGATTGAACTAGAAAGATGTGATTCAATTTCCTTTACAAAACAAAACGTGAAATGGGTGTTCGAGCATACACCTCTGTGATTAATTGATCACTGCCGATGCTCATCATGTGTTATTACCTCTCAAAAATACCTCCAATTGAGTGCAAACAAAGAAAATGGAGGGTTTAAAGGTACAACTAATTAAAAAATGACCATATGCCAAGCAGGTTGAGTAGATAAGAATGTGCAGTACATTCCGGTAAATAGGTATAAGCAGGTTGTCGGCAGAAGCCTATTCGTACAGGTTTTCACTATGAACACTTACATTATTATCCTATGTTCATTCTTGTGGCAGGTTGGAGCAGGTTGCCCGCGCGGGCAAACCTGCTTTCACTGTGTACGTGCCCTAAGGATTTATCTGCTTTGTTCTACATTGTTAGCAGTTAATTATTATTTCTTTATCATAATAAAGTAAAAATATAATCAAGAAGATTTCAGAGTAAATCCAGATTGCTATAGAAAAAGGAATCATCTGACACTAAATATTCTATCTAAAATCTTAGTGCCTCACAATAAAAAATCAGATTTAACGATGTAGAAATTTGCACTCAAAGAAATGAGAGAGACTTCGACCAAATAGCCATTCACCCCTTGCTCTTGTGTGGGTCATCCAGACTCATTTGGATCCAGTAAAACGGCGTATTAGTGCTACGTTCGCTCTCTTTTTGGGCAATGTGGAACATTCATTTCTTTGTATAGTATTACTAGTAAAATTCATATGAATTTTGTACATAGTTGTATGGAAAAGTTACCAGCATGTAATTTTAAAATAGAAACTTAAGTATGTTCCAATAAATCACTCAGAAATGACAATGGATATTCTTTGTCATTTTTTGTAGTGGAAATTGAATTTTCAAATGTAAATTGTTTGAACTGAAAGCCTTTGCATGCAAACGAAAAATTTGTATTCGTAAATCTCATATTCTGTGAAAGCAATAATTGACAACGGATCCAGCTGACCGAAGTCCAAGAGATTGATATTTCCGGTATTTGCCACTAGAAATTTTAATGCAACTGTTTTTTTAGTTTATTGATAGTTTCTAGCACGTCTATTTCACACATTAATACTGTAGAAAATATAGGTTAGGCAAACAATTTTATAAGTAGTAGTTTATTAGGTTTTGGGATTTTTGTTATATCTTTTTCTGTTTTTAATCAACATTGATGTGACCTCCAGTAATAGTGCATTTTAATTATCAATGTTTATTGTTAACTTATATAGCTCGTGATTACATTTGTGGATGTTTAATTTTAAAGTGTATATAGCGTGGTGTTATATTGCTTTTTTTATGGTCAAATTTGTTAATATTTTCACATTTAGGTTAGCTTATTTTTTTAGTTAGTTATTTCATGAGTGCTATTTTGATTCTATTTCAGAAAGGCCTCAATTTATGTTTTTTTATACATTTTTTAGTTTATATAGTTTTTAGGTTTATCAGATTTGGTAGGCTTGTTGATTTCGTAATTCCATATTAATTATTATGTAAATTGCAATTATTTTCAAACTGCTCATTAATTAAGCGTCCTCTGTTCGGGAAAGTAATAAAGTAGAACGACGATTACGGGCTTTAAATTACGATTACGTTAGATTAAAGTCCCCAACAATATACATTTTCACAGAAGATTATAGTATTGTATTCTGTAAAGCTTTAACAATAATTTTATAACCTTATGAAGTTCACTTGATATAACATTTTGTGTTCCACCACCGAGAACGTCATTATCTTCAACACAACTCTTTTTAGCGCATTTTCTCATTTACGGAAATAAAGGCGCTATTGCGCTCGCCATGTCCGTCCGTCCGTCTTTCTGTCCGTCTGTCCGTCCGTGACTTCACGTTTTCGTCGACCAGAAAATGTGCTCTCTGTCGCTCACTGCAGTGAGTACTGAGTTATATTCTATTTTTTCTTTGCCCCTCCATTTGCTTAATTAAAGTTGCAATTTATTGAAGACATTTAAGGTAATTTTTTTCATTTTAATATTGCAATCTTTTGTCCACATTTCCCGACACCAGAAATTAACACCGCTGCACGAGACACCTGCAGGGACACTGAATGGAATACTAAAGCAGTCGCTTCCGAACTGGAGTGAATTTCAGTTAAGATGATCAATTTTTCGGAAGCATTGGACGATTGACTAAGTTCGATTCTTAAAGAGGTATAAATCAAAGGAGAAGTATCTTGAATAACAGGTATAAATTTATAGCAGCACATGTATCAATGTTGAAATAATTTGAAAGAGAAGTGTTATGTTAAATTGGGTAACCAGGTGAACACGTTGAGGAACCACAGTAATTAAGAGAAATATTAGACGTTTTTTGATTTTCTCACTCGGGAGGATTAGATTGAAAATGTCTGGGTTTAGAATATCATCTTCCAGGACACAAGTTTGTGAGTTTAAGATAAAACTTTGCAATCACGCGTTGCGTGGGGACAAATCTATAGGATATTTTGTGGAACAAATGCAATGTAGCATCAATTTTGGCATAACTGTCAAAGCACAGCAACTCGAAAAACTTCACAGTACAAGTCCATGTATTTAGTTGACGTATATTGGCCTACTAAACAACGACTAATTAAACAACTAATTATTAGCACCCATGTAGGTATCAAACAGTAGATGTGGTGAGTTTAGATTTCAATACAAATACTATCCTATTCGCTATCCAGTTGTAGAGGCTCTCTGAAAGCCGCTTGCTCTCAAGTCTGTAACAATTTTGAACAATCAAACAATTTGTAAAATTTTTACTCAACTTGATTTCGGTTTTTAACTTGTGTTTATCTAGCTCTTGCATTTCCCTCGGCAGCTGTATCTCAGCTGTTCCTCAAGCCGGAATTTTCAAGGGAACTTTACTATACTCAACTCAACTCAGTTTTGTATTTCTCCGTCATTTTCTGTATTTTTCTCCGTCCTTTTCTACGTTCAAGAGAACTAGTTCGCGCATTTAATAATTTAATAATGGCTGGACAGAAAATAAAAAAGATAGTCGAAAAGCCGTCTATGGCCTCTAGAACACAAAATAAAACCAAATCAGCCCAGCTGGAGATGAAAGTTTGCAAGTACTGCAAAGAGATCTCTTTGAGCGAAGTCCAGATGGTCACCTGTGAACTATGCGAAGATCTCATTTGTATCAGCTGTTCGAAGTTGAACAGTCATGAAAAGATCCGGTCAAATGACACGAGTTTAGATCTATGAACAAGGCACGAAAAGGAAAAGAATCGGCGACAGGCCACATCAGGCCTACACTTCAGCGCCGACATCACTATGTTATGTTATGTTATGTAGAGCGACTTCTAGGTTTAGAGTCACGTAAATTTCAGAAACTTCGCCTAAGGACTTCTTCACGAGTACTGCTTACACTGAATAGATTCCTGACTAGTTAAGTACCGTGATAAGACTATCTAGGATTGGTCATCAAATTCAAGCAATAACATATAAGGTCAATAATTTTAATAAGTTTGATTTATGTTAAATGTAGCCTGGACAGCACAGCAAATAATGAAGCTGTACGAACGAGATGTTTATGTTATAACTAAGTGATACATTTTGCTTAATACTTGATTATTTTAATGCTTGATTCAAACTAAATATAGGTTTCCAGTCAGTGTATGCGAAGTGTAAGAGGTTGTTATTCAAATCTCAATTGCAGTGCTCGATGTAAGGAAGGAGAAGGATGGAATTTATTATTAAATTGAATCGATTTTCGTTTATTTCATCATATTAGTTATAAATTTTCGGATATTTATGGAAGTTCATAAAATTGTCATTCTTAAAATCAATGCATCAATGCTGTTCGGATGACCAAGGAGTACAACAATTTTGCATTTCGTGAAGTTTGCAAAAATTTATTACGCAAGAGAAGGTATAGTGGGAATGCAGTATTTCTATATCCATATCCAATATTCCATTATTTTCTCTATCGATTTACACTGAATGGAGATATAATTCATTTTTAGTTTTGTTCTAGATTTAATTTACAACAGTTGAAACCCTTTTCAAATGAACTATGCTTAAAAATTTTAATTTTCGATTAATGTATCAAAATGTTTCGAACTATTTTCGATACATCAAGAATATTGTCTCCTTTTCCTACATTGGTGAGAAGAGAACATTTTAATTTCTTGTTTATATCGGACAAAGCATTCATAGCCCAATGAATGGGCAAATTGCATTGGGCAATAAAATGCATTACTAGGCCTAATAAAACTCATGTTTTAGAATTTTGGAAATTCATATCTTCGCCAAATGTTGCTGACGAATGAAACGAAATTTGCAAAATTTCATTTTATAATAAGTTTGCAACAATATGTTCCTTTCAAACGTTCCTCACACACAGGAAAATCTAGAAATTAATTTATATCTTCACACTTTAATGGGAATCGAAAATGCATTTATTTCGTATAAAAATACTAACATTTTAGAGTTCTTCGTTCAGAGATTTGAAGCTACACACACCACATAATAAAGACGTTAATATATGAATTGAATATTATTATTATTTTAGTTGGTATTAGATGCCATCAAGAAGGGAAGGACTTAATTTGCAGCAGTAAAAAACTTTCTTTATTTATATTAATAATACTCAGAGTCCTGTTTACAGAGAAGGACATCCTATACCACAGTAATTTATTCGATTTATATATCAAAATAAGAAACATTTCAAAGTTAAAGTTCTTGTTTGGGTGGCAGAGCGTCCGGGCGGGAATACCGTCCGGCGAAGAGCGTAATTCCGGATTGCAGATCCTGCAGGAGGAATACGAAGGGATGGTCCGCTACGAACGGCGGAATGGTGCGCACCATCGCCATACGGGCCATGATCACCTGGGCTGTAGTCGCGGGAAAGGAATATTTCAAGTCATTAATAAACAATCAAGGATGTTAAGAATAATATAAATATATAAAAATATCAAAAACTGTGTATATTTCAAGAATTTATGAGCAGCGTTCATGAGAAAAGGAAGTCATGACTACCGTAAATTGAAGAACGCTCGAATAACGCTAATAAATGTGAGATATTGAATAAGTTTGATGAACAAATATTTCATGAATAAGTTTAATGGTTAAATGAGCAATGAATATCGCTTTGAAATAAAAAGTTCCTGAGTGACATTAATTGATAATTAGGTAATGCAACATTCTAGGCGTAATATTAGAAACAATCGCCCGTTTGTCCCATAATCACGAAAAATATCTAGAACCAAACTCAATCACAAGTTCAGAAAAAACTCAAGCACAAGTCCAGAACCAAACTCAAGCACAAGTTTAGACCCAAACTTAAGCACAAGTTTCGACTCAAACTTAAGCTAAAAAGATTCATCGAAACAATACCCAGGTTAAAGATGAGAAAAGCAAGACGTACAATATTTCTTAAATTTATTGACAGCAGTACTATAAAAAAAAACTACTTCAGGTTACGGAAAAAACAGCTTTAAAGACGCTAAATTGCAAGTGTGCAATACAATGAGCAATAAGTGTACAATATTATATTATATAATAAATTAAAAATACAAAGAAGACTTAGCAGTTTAAAAATAACATATCGTAAATAATAATAAAAAATCATTCTCTCTCTCAAATGGTGATAATTTTTATATGCTGCAAGAAAGAATATGAGAAAATATGTAGGAAACAGAAGCAACGGAATATAAACCTACAGAAAAATGTAAAAGAACAATCGACAATATCCACTGCCGAGGCCCATAAGTGTCAAAACAGGAATATACAGGTTAAAGAATCAGGTTTAAGCTTCGAAGTTACATTAGACATAAATAATTTCTTGCTATTTTGTTTTCCAAAGATGTGGAAGGAGTTGCATTTTTGGCCATTTTTGAACGCGCAAAACAGCATTAAATTGGATTTGGCAGATTGCATTGTATATTTTAGCATTATATGTATTTATACACAATTCTAAATTGCATCTCCTGCATCCTAGAAAAAATAGCAAAAAACTTCCCGAATCACGAATTAAGGTTGTAATTGAGGACGAATAATTCACTGTTGACCGGAAAAATATAATGTACCACATAAACCTAACTTTTGCATTGCATTTTCAAATGTTGAATGATTTGAATACCAAACAGTTTTTGGATCATATATAAAGCCAAATATGAATCACTCGATGATGGGTTTTTGCACTTTTTCGGTCATTAAGTACTCATTGAACAAATAACTGGGAGTCTCAACCTCAATTTCTGAATCGGTTTTACTATTAAACTTTTGGATAGCTCATCGAATTCATAATGCCTTTTGATCGAATTCACGGTAGAGTATGTAATAGAATGTTATTCCATACAGGGAATTTAACTTGCACACAAGTGGCAAGTACCGTACCTAAATCTGCAGGTAAGGCTTAAGCCGACGCCTGCGGTTGTGTAAGGCGGCCGCAGAAGAGAATTACCCCAGATTTCTTTTTCTCCCCCAACATGAAGAAAAATGGACGGTTTGCTGTGAACTCAGGGTACCTCACTGCCGCTGCCGCCTTGATAACGACGGCTGTTAGAGGGTGGTACCAAAAGGCATGTTGTGTTAACTAACGTCTTAACCATTAATTTTAGGCTGTGTGCTACTGCGGCAAACCTGCGCGATTTTCGTTGATAGCGAAAAAACTTTGACTGTTTATACCACGAGGGCAACGACTGAGGAAAACAAATGAGAAACAAAACAAAAAAATTCGAAAAGCAGAAAATTAAAAAATATATATTAAAAAAATAAATGCAAGAAACTTGAATAGGGACGACATTGATTAATATCAGGCATTAGGATTAATTTCATTTCAAATTGTGAAAAAAATAATAGCGATCGTGCAGGAATTTTTGCCACCGTTCGAAGTTATTTTCATTTTTTCGCTTATTTTATTTATTTATTTAGTGTTTTTTATTAATTTGAGACATTGCATACAGATAAGTAGGTTGAGTGCAGTTTTCATATGTTATTTAATGTATGATTTGATTTTCTTTGCATTCAATTTGACAATTTAAACGAGATACCATTTTGTTTCGTACTTCTATCAACCATCAACGGAAGAATTCTCGTCGTTCAGCTTACGCCACGAATTCTTTTTCAGCGCTGAATTTGACTTTATTTCGTTCCCGTCATTTTTCTTGGTACTTAGAACATGGTAATGGTACTCAATCATGGACAAATCGTCCAACCGGGCCACCGGATGCAGAAACAGAATAATCTCCTCTTTTCATCCTCTTTTCAAAACGCATAGCAATTTTCTAATTACAACCTAGCTAGGGTGACCACCATAATTTCATTATGATTAAAGTACCTACCTTCGCTAACAAAATTTGGGGAACGCCTAGGTTTCGGCCGAATAGTCGCTACATTCGGCGCAAAGTTATTCTGGGACTGCTTGGTCACCCGATCGAAATCAGTTTCTGGTCAGAATCTCCTATCCAACTTTATAGTCGCCTGAGAGTATGAGAAGTGTTGGTCGAGCCGAGTCATACCGAGTTAGCAAACTGCAAAGAGGCTGCCTCCAAACCCTGAGCCGAAGCGGGCATATAGAGAAGCTGATTTACGTGCTCCCCGAGTAATGGGCGGCCCTAATGCAGGGTCGCACACGCCTCTAAATTTTGTTAGGGTAAAACGGATTACATCTAACTTTCAATTTTTGGTACCTTCTAAATGTTCATCATCACAAAGACGCAACGCAATCTATTCTTGCCAATTTGAATAATCAACAACTTCATTTCTTGTGTCTGTCATAACCAGGAAAACCTCGAATTTGTTAAAAATTATAAACATTTTATTTCCATTCTGTCGTAGCCTTCCTAATGCGTAGTTTTGTTGCCCAAGAAGAAACGAGGCAAGAGCTTGGCAGATTCAAGCTTCAATTTTAAATCTTACAGCAACTCAAGAATTTCAAATGCGTCACATTAATTAGTAATAAATGAAAGCATGCAAGAAGCCTTGGAAATTATCAGGAAAGCAATGTTTCCTGATGATTGGGAAAAATACCAAGTAGAAACGGAAATGTGTAAGTGGACTAAATCTTAAAGCAATACAGATTAGTTAATGGAGAAGATAAGAATAGAAAACAGAAATAGTAGAAAAGTAGTAACCTCCAAAATTCAAACAGCCCGTTAACAACTAATGCAATAAAGGTGATAATAAATCATGAATTAGATTCTATGCGAGATTGCACCAGTAAAATAAAAATATATCTATTAATTGATGTGCAGTTTTAATTTGAATGAGATGGCACTTCCTACATTCAGTTAAAACTGAACTCAACCACCAAATGTTTTCGTCGATTAAACGCAAGTTTAATTTTTCATGAGTGAGTCATGAAAATTTTTTTATAGGTAAGAGCCAAATAAAAAAAGCTTTTTTCGAAAACAGGCATTTTCATTCAGAACTAAGCACGGCTGCGCGGAAAATCAAGTTACCCAAACATCCATTTCAAAATGGCCGTTGACACTTTATTACCATCAGCAAAATCAGCAGGTCTTCAGCGTTAGCCAAATAAGGTTTTTGCCAAGTTTATAATTGAAATACCAAAGTTTATTCACTCATTTTTCGAGATGTCATTGGTGAAAAGATGTAGACTTTTTACAAATAGATGTATCAGGGCCACAAAGATCAAAGAAATTTACTTCTACTATAGGTTCTTAAATTTTAAAGTTCGTGTAAGGAGGTGGTTTTACTCGAGTTAGCGATGCATCTGAACACAAACCGCGTTCGGAATAAATGTCCGTCTTTCATTACATTTGTCCACTAAGAGAAATAAAGAACTATGTGGCGTGCAAAGGACGATGTGGCGTTCAAGTTAGTAGTTACTTTTCATGCACTCTAAAAACGACCACCTAAAAAGTGAGTACCTAAGTCAGGTGACGGACTTAGGCCGACGCCTGCGGTTGTGTAAGGCGGCCGCAGAAGAGAATTACCCCAGATTTTTGTTTCTCCCCCAACATGAAGAAAAATGGACGGTCTGCCGTGAAGATGGGGTCGGGCATGGGCATGGCGCACAGCATCATGATAACGGCTGTTCGCGAGAAAAACCACAACAGGTCAAATGAAAACAAATCCAATCTAATAAAAATATTCTGTCTCGTTTTCGTTGCGCAAAGTTATTTCCAAATTTTTTTCGCAAAGTTTAAAAGCTCGAAAATTAAATGAGGGGATTTACTCAAAACTCATCTTTACTGGAGTAATTTGGGAATGACACAACTTCTTATTAGCTAGTATTTTAAATCTCTAAGCATTGGGCAAATAAATTTCTGTTCCGTGACCAAAATAGGAAAACAGAACCATAGAATCAATCGAACGAATTCAACTGCAGTAGGATTGATGACTGCAATGATGGAAGAGGATCAAAAAAATATTATTTTTTTATATTTTTTGAGGGAGGGAGCAAAGAAAAACTTTCACGCGAACGCATCTACCGAATAGTATTTATGAACTAAAAATCCAACTACCAGAAAATTTGAAACACCACAAATTCGAAGTCGCGGGTGGCAGAGATATAACATGTTCGAGACGGAAATAGAATACAGAGGTAAACATAATGCTGCGCTGACTACCGACAATAATTGCAGCGGTATTCATGAAGAAATGTTCTCTTGATATTACAGGTCATCACCAGTAACCTCCAAAATTCAAACACGAACGTCAGGACAACACCACAAAGAGAAGTAGAAACCAGTCATTACTGACACATAACATATTGATCTCGGCGCTGAAGTGTAGGCCTGATGTGGCCTGTCGCCGATCCTTTTCCTTTTCGTGCCTTGTTCACAGAAGATCTAATATTTGACTATCCGGTCATTTGACCGGATATCCGGTCATAATATCCGGTCATTTGACCGGATATTTTCAT